AATTGTTTATACAAAATATTTTTGATACTAGAATTTTCTGCTGGAAATCATATCGATAATAAATTTGTCTACAGAAAATACTTTCGATAATACGTACAATATTAGTATGTTCCCGATAATACGTAATATATTTTTCATATCATGAAGGAAAATTTGTTATCGTAGTAAAAAAAAGATTCTTGCAGTACGGGAACAGGCCATATGTTTTAAATATACTTGGCTTATATGTGCCAGAATTTTTTAATAACTTAATACTTTGACATTTTAGTTTAAATTCTATTCGAAATATCCCAAATTCCTCATTACTTTAAAACTTTTCTCATTTCAAAAGAGAAGAAGAAGAACAATTCAATCCTATACAATTCTTAGGAAACACAATTTTTCAAAATATGCAAATCATCGAATTAAACTTTCACATGAACAGCTTAGAAAACCTTTCACGTAATATATGGCGTATACGTGCTGCCAACACTTATACGCCACACTCAAGCTCAGCCCCTTTTGGGTAGGCAACATTTTTTCGTTCTTTGTTTGATATACTAAAATGCAAATAAAGCATCAAAATGAGATCAAAAATATTTATTACCTTCAATTGATATATACATATACTCATAATACATGTACATATATAAATATATACATCTATAAATATTTTATTTCATATTCCGCAAAAAAGTGAATATTTACTGTTGTGGTTTTAAATATAAATTTTATCGTTCTCACACACACACACTTTCTCGGTATTTTTTTGTTTTGGGGACATTTTATGCCTAAACCTGTTGCCTAAATAACAAACACACACTCACACACATAAACATATTTGTTTCGATGTTTATTAGCTACAAATCCTCTAATAATAAAACATCTGGTGTTTTGTGGTATTATTTTTGCCTTAATCCGAACAAAGCCACATAAATAATTGAAAATTCAATTATGGCATGGCAAATGATATAGAAATTAATGAAAAATTTAATTTGGATTGGAAGCAGGGATAAAAATTTACACAGAAAAGAAAATCGCTTCGATAACTTATTTTACTATAGAAAATATTTTCGATAAAATACTTTTGTACGGAAAATAGGTTCTAAAACACAGTTTTATAAAGAAAATCTGTTCGATAACACAATTTTTTATAGAAAATATTTTCGATAACAGAATTTTCTATAAATAATGTTACCGATAACACAATCTTCTGCAGAATTTATATTCAATAACACAATATCCTTGTGTTCGATAACGCAATTTTCATAAGAAAATCTGTTCGATAACTCAAGTTTCTAAAGAAAATTGTTTTCATTACACAAATATATATATTCGATAAAACACTTTTAAGATAAAACACTTTCGATAACAACAATTTTTAATAGAAATTACGTTCGAAAATAAAATTTTCTATCGAAAATATGTTTGATAACACAATTAGTTGTAGAAAAAAAAATCGATAATAGGATTTCTCTCGAAAATAAGTTCAATAATATTCAATTCAATACAAGTTTCTCTAGAAACTGTGATTGAAGTTATCGCTAGAAAATGTGTTCGATAACAATGTTTTCTATTAAAAACCAGATCAAAAATTAAGTTTTCTATAGAATATAATTTCGATAATAATATTTTCTACAGAAACTGTGATCGATAACATAATTTTATATAAAACATTTGTTCGATAGCACATTTTTCTATACCCAAATATGTTCGATAACATGAATATTATGTTCCATAGCTCATTTTTTTATACAAAATCATTTCGATAACACAGATTTCTGCAGAACAACATTTCGATAATGCTTTCTTTAAAGGCAAATGTGATCGATAACTAAGTTTTCTATAGAAAATGTGATAGATTGTAAAGTTTTCTATAGAAAATGTGATCGAGAAATAATTTCCCTATAATACATGTGCTCGATTATAGATTCTTCTATAGAAACTATGATTGAAAACATCATTTATATACAAATTTGTTCTATAGCACATTTTTCTATACCAAAAAACATATCGATAACAAAATTTTCTCTTCGATAATACTTTTTTTATGGAAAATGTGATCGATAACATTATTTTTTATAGAATTACCACTCGATAACAGTATTTCCTACTGAAACTGTGATCGATAACACAATTTTCTAAATAAAATTTCTCAAAAGCTCATTATTCTACACCAAAAAATAATTTCGATAACACAGTTTTCTGTAGAAAATATTTTCGATAGCACAATTTTGCAAAACAGCTTTATTCGATAACACGCTATTCTATAGAATATGATTTCGATAATAGCATTTTTTATGGAAACTGTAGTCGATAACACAGTTTTCTGTAGGAAATCTTTTCGATAGTACTATTTTCTTAAGCAACTGCGATCGATAACACACTTTTCAATAGAATATGATTTCAATAAAAGAATTTTTATGAAAACTGTGTACGATAATACCATTATCTATAGAAAATATCGTCGATAACACAGTTTTCTAATAATGAACGTGATCGATAGCACAGTTTTCTATAATAAACGTCTTCGATAACAAAGTTATCTCTAGAAAAATTGATCGATAATCCAGCTTTTCATAGATAATCGCTTCGATAACACAGTTTTCTATAGAAAATCTATTCGATAACACAATTGTTTATAGAAAATCTATTCGATAAAACATTTACCTAATGAAAATCTATTCGATAACACAGTTATCTATGGAAAATCTATTCGATAATGCAGTTATCTGAAGAAAATCGATTCGATTACGACTTTCTATAGAAAATTTGATCGATAACACGGTTCGATAATACTATTTTTTTATATCTATTCATTTCATTTCACCATTTTTTGTAGAAAATATGTTCGATAACTCCCTTTTGTCTAAACCTCTGTTCGATAACATAGTTTTTATAAAGAAATATAATCGAAAGCAAAGATTTCTATTAAACATGTGATCGACAACACATTTACCCATAGAAAATGTGATCGATATCAACGTTTTCTATAACAATATAATCGATAATAATGTGTTCTATAGAAAATCTTTTCAATAACATAGTAAACGATAAATGAGTTTTCGATATAAAAACTGTGACTGATAGCAATGTTTTCTAATCGATAACAAAGGTTTCTATGGAAAATATTATCGATAACAACGAAAATCTATTCTATAGCACAGTTGTTTATAAAAAGTATGCACATTTTTCGAAAAAAAAAAACTATAACTGATAGCAATGTTTTCTAAAAAAGAGATCGATAACACAATTTTTTATAAAAAAAATAATCGATAAAAAAATTTCAATGGAAAGTGTGATCGATAACACATTTATCTGTAGAAAATGTGGTCGATAACAATGTTTTCTATAAAAAATGGTTTGATAGCACAATTGTTTACTGAAAATTTGCCCGATAAACTGTGATTAATAGCATTGTTTTCTAAAGAAAAGTTCGATAACACAATTTTTTTTTATAAAAAAAAATATAATCGATAATAAAGATTTCCATAGAAAATGTGATCGATAACACATTTATGTACAGAAAATGTAATCGATAATAATGTTTTATTTAATAAATATAATCGATAATAACGTTTTTTATAGAAAATGTGATCGATAACACAGTAGTTTACAAAAAATCTTTTCAGTTCTTTACAGAAAAATGGCCCATTGACACAGGTTTAAAGATAAATTTTCCGATAACAAAATGTTATAGAATGAATGTAATAAAAAAACAAAAATTTTATTGAAAATTTGATCAATAACAAAATTGTCAATATCAACCCTGTTCGATAGATCAGTTTTCTAAAAAATTATTCGATAACATTGTTTTCTATGCAGAAATATATACGATAAGACGATTTTCCAAACAGAAATATATTAGATATCGTATGTTTAAAGAAAATATGCCCGATAACACTCTTTTAATAAATACTGTGATTGATAGCTATTGGTCTGTTCCCGTACTGCAAGAATCTACTGCTTTTACTACGATAACGAATTTTCCTTTATGATATCAAAAAATAGAAAATTGGTAGGAAACAGTATGTTTTCTAATAAGATTTTTTTCCAAAAGTTTATTAGAAAATTTGTAATCGTAATAACAAAGTTGTCAATAGAAAACCTGTTCGATAGCTCAGATTTTTATAGAAATTTCATTCGATAACAAAGTTTTCGATAAAGAAATATGTCCGATAACTTTGTATTCTGTAGCAAATATATTTGATAACTTAGTTTTCTGTAACAAATCCCTTTCATAACACAGTTTTCTATAATATATCAATTCGATAACATTGTTATCTATTGAAAATCCTTTCGATGACATAGTTTTTCTATCGAAAATCTGTTCGAAAAAATCACAATTTGCCATCGAAATCGTATATCAAAAAATATTTTTCTCTCGGAAAAAAAATATATTTTTTTTAAATTTCCCATTATTTTACCTTCCTCAAAATATATTTATAGTAAATTTATTCATAGTTAAATATTCATAGTAAAATATTAATAGTAAAAAAATGATTGCATACTTACAGGCGCTTATTATTATCTTCTCACCAACTCCAGCTGTTATGGCGTGTATTTTAACAATTTCATTCACAATTATTCTTTTGAAACAATTTAACAAGTCGTTATTTTTTTATTTTCGCTATCAAGCTGTCGCATAGAATAATGAACAGAATAAAGAATATGAAAAAATGAGAAGAAGAAGAAGAAGAAAACAATAACTCAATTAATCACTTTAACACTTATAATAATAACGCGCGCTCACACACACACACACACTCACTCATAAACGTTATTATGTTTCGCTTGTCATTAATTGTGTATTCTGTTATTTCCGTTTATTACACATTGTAAACTATAATAGTAACAATAAAAAAAGAAATATTGATAAGAGGGAATAAAAAAAAGAAAAAAAAAATAACAACAACGTCAACACTTCATTTTTATCAAGCTACAAAGATCCCGTACTCTACACACACTTAAAACACTTGACTAAGATAAGCAGAGAGAGGGAGAGAGTAGGAAAAAAATCACACACTCTTAAGGCGGGATCACATGATTGCCGCAATGCGCCAATTATTGGTGCATTTTATATGCCAATCGTGTGATTGCACAATTTATTGTCCAATGCGACAATCAAAAATAAATTGTGCTGATTTGCGGCAATCAAATACAACTCTGGTACGACAATCGTGTGAACTGTTAATAGACAACCTTGCGCAAATTTAAAGTTGAAAAATGCGTCAATATTTATTGTTTTCTAGTGCGTCAATCAAAGAAGACAATACGCGTCAATAACCTGATTTTTTTTAAATAATATTTTTTCTTGTGTTTGTACCGTCAACATTTCTTTGTCGTAAGTAAAGTAAAGTTAATTTAAATTGTTGTATTTGCTATAATTATGTTCATATTATGTATTTGCAGCTTTAATATGGAATTCGGTGATTGCATTGTATACGAAAATTCAGCTGAGCTTGAGTTCTTTTCCCCCGATCAGCAACCAGAAACACCTGTGCCGAAAAAAAGAAAAAAACCAAGTGTAATTTGTTCCTGGACCTACACTGCAATACAGGAGCTGATACAAGCTGTGGAACAGCATCCATGTGTTTGGCAGTATTCATCCACCGAGTACAAAGATAGGAATAAACGGGAGCAGGCATGGCGGGAAATTGAAAAAATGTGTACAGGGCACACGGTGGAAGACTGCAAGGCCAAATGGTGCCAAATGGTGTCTTGTTTTTTAATATATGGTGACACTAGTTGCAACAATTCGATAAACGTTTCGTCATCCATCCGGATAAAATTTTTAAACAAAAACTTTTGGTTTTCGATTTCCCGGAATTCCATTAATGTTTTGTCATATGCACCATCAGTGCTTCTTTTTGTGAGCCACTCTCTGACCCACGTACTTCTATTTACTTTTTTTTTCTTTTCTTTCCTTTCATTTTTCTCATCGTCAAATGCACACACCATAATTATAGCTGCTGCAATTTTCTTTTTTTTTAAAGAACACATCTTAATAAAACAAATTTTTAAATGCTTTAACATTTTTAATAAACAAACTTTGACACATAGCAGCTGCTTCTGATATTTGCCGTGTAGTAGAACAATCGTGTGACTGAAGTTGGACAATAATTGTCACTTGATGGTTTTGAGACAATATGCGGCAATCAAATTTATGAAAAGTTGGACAATCATGTGACCGCAGAGAATTTGATTGTGACAATTTATTTATTGTAGTAAAACTTTGGACAATAAAAATTGGTTTAAATTGGCGCATTGCGACAATCATGTGATCCCACCTTTACTCTTACAATTACTACTGTCATAAAACGCTTATGGTCGTGTGTAACACACATACATATGTATATAAGCAGCAGTAACGAGTGGCAGACACGTTAAACACTCTAATTACAAAACACCTAAACTCACTTAATTAATTTATTTGTGTGTGTGTGTCTGTGTGTGAGTATGTTATTTTCTGTGATTATGGTTAACCAAGGAGAGTCATGTAAGGTACAAGAACAAAACACCACACCAGCTGACATACACGCAAACACACACACTACATGACATTGTAGGGGAAGCCATCATATGGCAAATGTTGGCAAACAACAAAATTAAGCTTGAAGGAACTTGCTTAACCCCCCACCACTCCTTTGTAAAATGTTATGAGAAAAAAATGGGCGATGTTGCCATTTTTGGTCGAAATCGACCAATTAAATATGTACACATTTTTTATGCCATCATATGGCAAATGTTGACAAAAAATTGGCGGTGTTGCCATTTTTGATCGAATTCGACCAAAATGGCGCCCAACTAAATGTGGAATTCAATTTGTATGAAAATCTAAGTATAAATGGCGCCCAATCAAATATGTAGTTCATCTTGTGCGGTTCAGTAGAGGAATGCTAGATAGATGTACTCAAAAATTCTGACGATATGTGAAATTACAGGACTATGAGGAAATGTCGGCACGAATCCGATAGAAAGATCAAGTAAAGGACAACATCTCGAACTTGCTTAACCCCCTCACCACTCCTTTGTAAAATGTTATGAGAAAAAAATGGGCGCTGTTGCCATTTTTGGTCGAAATCGACCAAATGGCGCCCAACTAAATGGGGAATTCATTTTATATGGAAATCTAAGTATAAATGACGTCCAATCAAATATGTAGTTCATCTTGTGCGGTACAGTAGAGAAGTGATAGACAGATGTACTCAAAACACCTGGCGATACGCGTGTTGACCATCTGGAAGGAGCATTTTGAAAACCTTCTGGTATCAAATAATGACGGCGAAGAAGATACCCCAGGCGGTGTTGCCATTTTTGCTCGAAATCGGCCAAAATGGCGCCCAACTAAATGTGGAATTAATTTGGTATGGAAATGCCTAAGGAATTTGAAACATTTTTTTCTTGTCGAAAATCAAAATGGAAATGGCGCCCAATTAAATATGTACTCATTTTTTATGGTATCATATGGCAAATGTTGGCAAACAACAAAATTAAGCTCAAAGGAGCCTGCCTAACTCCTACCACTCTTTTGTGAAATTTTATGAGAAACAAAAACGGGCGGTGTTGCCATTTTTGATCGAAATCGACCAAAATGGCGCCCAACTAAATGTGGAATTCATTTTGTATGGAAATCTAATTTATAATTGGCGCCCAATCAAATATGTAGTTCATCTTGTGCGATTCTGTAGAGAAGTGATAGGCTGATGTACTCAAAAACCCTAGCGATACGCATGTTGAGGATCTGGAAGGAGAATTTTGAAAAACTGCTGGTATCAAATATTGGCGGTGAAGAAGATACCCCGGAACCAATAAGAGATGACGGTATAGAGTATATACCACAGAATCGCAATTAATCGGCTGACGGGCTGAATAAAGCAGCAGGTGCCGATGGATTACCAGCCGAACTATTCATGACCGATGGTCAGATGCTGGTCAGGAGTATGCACCAGCTGATTAGTACAATATGGCTAGAGGAATGTATGCCCAACGATTGGAACCTCTGCATCCTGTGTCCCGTGCCAACTATAGAGGAAAAAGCCTCCTTCCCATCGCATATAAAGTACTATCCACCAGAGTGCTGTGTGAACGACTGTAGCCAATGGTCAATGACATTATTGGACCATACCAATGCGGTTTCAGGACTGGCAAATCCACCATTGACCAGATTTTCAGTCTGCTCCAGATATTGGAGAAAAATCCACGACACATTCCACCTATTCGTCGACTATAAAGTCAAAGAGGTAATGAACGATTTTATATACCTCGGTACCGCCATAAACAAAACTAGTAACATCAATATTGAAATTCGGAGGAGAATAGTATTGGCCCACAGATGTTACTATGGTCTGAGTTAGCAACTTAAAAGCAAGGTCACTTCTTGCCAGACCAAACTCACACTCTACAAGACGCTGATATTATCCGTGCTGTTGTATGGATCTGAAGCATGGGTACTTGCGCAAGCAGATGAGGCAAGTTTTGAAGTGTTTGAAAGAAAAATTCACCGGAATATCTATGGGCTGATCTGCATTGACGGTGAATATCGCCGTCGACCAGCTCGGACGTAGGCATTGTTAGAAGTATTGAGCTGCAGCGACTACGTTGTCTAGGTCATGTTGTGAGAATGGATGAAGATGCCCCAGCCCAAAAGGCATATAAAAGCGAACTAGCTGATAGTTTACGCAGAAGGGGAAGGCCACAAATAAGATGGAAAGATCAAGTGGAAGTCAATACCGACGAGCCTGGAAATATTTTTTAAGCACGGTTTATGGAACGAAATTTCTGTCACAAGCCAGCTAAGTAAGTAAGAGAATGGCGCCCAACTATTCAGCAGAGCTCATGTTATTTGCGAAACACCTTATTAAAGAAGTTTGAAAAAATGTTTCTGTTGGAAATCCAAGTATTGATGGCGCCCAATATGTAATCCATTTTGCTAGATAAATATAAGCATTAATGGCACCCAATCCAATATGTAGTTCATCTTGTGACAATATTTCAAATTGCAACACATTTTTTAATCAAAGTAAGAATGGCGCCCAATCATTTTATTCTATTCCAGCAAACTATTCAGCTATATTAATACATAGTGCGATTTTGGGAAACGCCTTGGGCAATCTTAGGGATTTGAAACTTAATGACAACAATTTAAATATTAACTTAATTTTTTTCTCTCTGGAGAGGTTCGAGGTACGTATTCACTATTCAACTATTAGGAATATGCGTGGGAGGTATATTCTTAACCCTACGGCCAATAACTGAGTACATATATACCTTTTTTGACTAAAAATGCTGTAATATTTTCAATAATGGAGATATTTGGATCAAATTTTGAAGAAATATTGTTGAGGTATTTTCGGCTTTTGGCCTACAAGTTCCTCATAAAATATTCTTTATAAATCCAAGCCTTTCGTCCTATAGGTACTTCCGAAAATATTCTTTAAATATTTCGTTAAAAATCCTCGCCCAAAAATCCTTAACCCAACGATTCTTTAGAAAGTATTCTTTAAAAATTCACGCATTTTGGCCTATAGGTTCTTCAGAAAATATTCTTTCAAAATCCACGCTTTTTGGGGTACAGATTCCTTAGAAAATATTCTTTAAAAATCCACGCCTTTTGGCCTGTAGATTCTTCAGAAAATATTCATTAAAAATCCACACCTTTTGTCCTAAAAGTTCTTCATAAAATATTCATTAAAAATCCACGTCTTTTGGCCCACAAGTTCTTCCAAAAATATTCCTTAAAAATTCACGCCTCTTGGCCCAAAGAAAATATTCTTTTAAAATCCACATTTTGTCAAGTAGCACCACGTTACCACGTGTGATTTCAACTAGAGAAACCGGGGGAGAATTTTTTGATAATATTCAAGCAAAAAGGAAAATGTGTGAGAGATATGTCGTTGAAAACCCAAGTCATATGTTACAATATGGCTCCGATTTTTTTTAAACATAAAATGTATTTGCTTCACCGACGGATTTCAAAGTGTCTCAAGTTCGGCTAATTTTTAGATTTCAGCATTTGAAAATATTTCAAACATCATTACCTCCATTGTCGAAAACCTTCAATAAGCCAAGCGTCTCAAGATACTACTTGTTGTCATATAATGGCGCCCGAAAGCAAGGAATTAATCGTATTATCAAGCGTCAGCATTGTACAAACATTGGCAAATAATCTCGATATGAAGTAATTTAGAAATTGCATTTTTTTTCAAATATAAGGAAGAGTTATATGCCGCATGACAGACAGACCTTCAATATATCCAAATAGGCAACCAGTTCGCAGCCTTTTTTGTGGCGCCCGACGGCTATAACGCTTAAAATTGTCATATAGAAATTAAAAAAAATGAGAATAATGGGTGAAATATGGGTGAAAGATGGAGAGTTCTATAAGGTATTACTGTTACATCTTTAATATATCCAGTTCAGCAAATTTTTCGCAATGGTTTTGTGGCGCCCGACGGTTAGAGAGCATACATTTTTCGTACAAAAATTAAATAAAATTTGAGAACTCTGATTTGTTTTGGGCTTTAGAGATTATGTCTATAAACTTCGAATTGAACTGGCGCCCAAATTACATGCATTATACGGGATTTACATTAGAACTTTTTACCGGTTTACAGTAGGTTATTTGGCATATTTATTTGGTATATATTCAAAGGAATTGATAATTGAAACCTATACGTACTTTTATTTGGAAATGTCATT